AAGTAACCATGTGATCAAACACACCCAAGTAAAAGCACAAAACAGAAACATAAACGACACATAATAACCTATTAGGAAGAGCCAATCAAGGTTACAATTAGAAACTGAGAGAATCGTATGCACTTCAAAAGGGGCGAGACCATGTAAGTCGACAGGGTAAACGTTTCCTGCTATGCATACATCAAATGCCATGAGAATTCATACTCATTAAAAATGTCACAATCGGTAAAATTACAAATCAGACGACTATACTGGTACCTACAGATCTAAGTAGTGTTGCTAGTGAGAGATTCTGACACATGGTATTGGTCAAACAATTCCAAATATTGATATACACTTGGTCTAATTTAACAGATTTTACAATGATAATTTTTTAACTTTTAACTTTTAGAATCCCCAGAAAAGATGGCAACTATAGACTACTGCAATTAGAAAAAAACGTATGACATTTTTTCACCTTAGGGGACTTTGAAAGATTGATAAGTAGAGTAAAGGAGAATGATGAGAAAAAAATTCAAAATTATTTTTTTTCTTTATCGTGGTACTTTGGAAAAAGGAACATTTAATATTTTTCTTGTTTGGGCGTTTATTTCATAGTCGACTATATGGTATGGGTTTTTCTCGTTGTTGAAAGTCGTAATGTTGGCTATAATTGCTTACACCAACTTCATTTGAATTTTTATGGATAGTTGTCTCACTGGCAATCATACCACATCTCCTTTTTTATATAAACAGGTCATGGCGACAGAGACCGTATGATTTAAACAACCTAGTAGTGACTATATACAAAGTCAAATAACAACAAATACCGAACTACAAGGAAAATTCAAAACGGAAAGTCCTTTATCAAATGGCAAAATCAAAGCTCAAACACATCAAACGAATGGAAAACAACTGTCATATTCCTTCTGTAGAAAATCTTGTTTTACAGCTAGCTAATCCTTTCACTCGTATGACAACAATGTTTTACCAAAACAAACAGACATTTTAGGTAAAAGATCAAAAATTGGGGTACAGCAGTCAACATTATGTTATAATCTAATTCACTATAAAAAATAATAACAATTTCAACAAAGAAAGACGAAATGGCATATAGACACTTTATAGACAAAGTACATAAGCAGAAATGAAAGACAAGAATACAACAATGTCAATATAAATATTTCTTCTGATTCCATGGCTATCAACATTAAACAATGTTTTTCACTTTGGGAAAATTGTAACATGAAGAAAAGGTATTTAGGAAAGGGAGTAGAATGGAAAGCCATTTTATCCGAAGAGTTCAACAGTAGAGGACATTGATTTAATGGATTTCCAATTGAAACAAAATGGAAACTATAAATGTCTTATAGCATACCAAAATCAACTTACAAAAGTTTTTAACATTAGATTTTGTACGTCAAAATGTGATTAAATAGAGGTGACTTTTGTTTTAATTAAGGGTTTCATATTTTTAATGTTTTTATTTTTTAAGTGCGTCCCATAAACTGCATTATCACAATGGTCGTGAATTTACAGCTTTGGTTATATCCGAGTTTAAAAATAAAGTGGTCAGAACTGGTGACTTTATTTCAAGGAGTTGACATTTTAAACTTCAGTTCTTATCATGTTATTATGTACCAAATGTGTTTTAATTTTGAACAAATGTCTTTTTTATTTACTCGCATTAACATTTTAGGCATTTAGATTAATGCCTGGACACATTTTTCAGGATTTAAGCTGAAATCCTAGGACTTAAGATTAATGCCTAACACTATTTAGGCAATAGACTTGTTACTAGGGTCATCAAAGTTTCTTTTTAAATAGACATCCTCACAAGGATGCCGTTAAAAACAATAAAATTTGTGTTTTAATGTTTTAAAGAAACATAGCAAAAAGTACTAGTAAACTGATTGTGGTGTGGAAAAAATATACAGTCCTATACAATGTTCAAATATCGACCAGTATCAATCAATGGAAACACAGGTTCGCTAGAAATATATTCGGTACTGCATAAAGTAACCATGTGATCAAACACACCCAAGTAAAAGCACAAAACAGAAACATAAACGACACATAATAACCTATTAGGAAGAGCCAATCAAGGTTACAATTAGAAACTGAGAGAATCGTATGCACTTCAAAAGGGGCGAGACCATGTAAGTCGACAGGGTAAACGTTTCCTGCTATGCATACATCAAATGCCATGAGAATTCATACTCATTAAAAATGTCACAATCGGTAAAATTACAAATCAGACGACTATACTGGTACCTACAGATCTAAGTAGTGTTGCTAGTGAGAGATTCTGACACATGGTATTGGTCAAACAATTCGTGATGGTAACCGTAAAACTTATGCGGTGTCGATTTTCAATCGTCCTTCCTCACAACTCTGCAGTTTTTGTGTACAGAGAACACCCCTATTAATGAAGTCCGTATAGTGTGAACATGCAATAGCGTAACGAGTTAACTGATATTTGAAAACGCCACGAAGGTATGTTACTGCTGAGAAATGGGAAGTGGACAATTGGAAAGTTGAAATCACCAAGTTTGTCATAGATTTTGTTTGAAGTCGTCCATCTGTGTCAATATCGAAGAAAAGATCAAAATATGAAAAAGACCTTCTACTATTGGTATATCCCTAATTTCAAGTTCACGGGGATATGTGAGATGTAAGCAATCGTTGAAATGTAGGTTATTAAGTGACAGAACATCAACAATATATCTGAAAGTGAAATTTAAAAACTATGCAAAATGCTTATTATATTTGTCTTTGAGAAGGCTCTGTGTGAATTCTGTTCCATATGAGTGCAAAACAAGACTGACAGGAGTGGTGCACAATAAACACCCATTGGAATATCGACTTCTGTTGTTATATTATTCCTCCAAACTCAACAAATTTGTGCTATATTTTGATGGTTTCTTCTTCGATGTATCTGTAGTAGGAATCATTGTAGTTCTTCACACAGTAAGATTTTTCATGACCTAAAGCAAGGAATTAATATCTACGTTTCCCATAAAACGGAATATGGTTATTCCATTATTCAGAATCCGACGTCATATCGTTTTTTGGCAGTTTAGAAGAAGCTATTTAGAACTTTGAAATCCCAACTAGCAAGTACCTGGTTCTCTTCGAAAGAGCAGAAATGTCGTTTCTGATACTTGATGTGTATTTTTATGTATGGTATATTTTTAGTATCTAATCGATAAATATGCAACCAAACCAATTTTAAACAATGTACCGAAAATCTCGTAGATAAATTTCCTATCATATGCCATGAAGTTAAGTTTTCTATCCCTATCTTTCATTCTGAATAAATAGATATCAGAATTTAAAAACTTGCAGCAAATTTCAACAAATATAAAGATTTTATCCGTTATACTAGTAAAAGAAAAAAAAACCGAATTTCGACAATTTGTAGAATATGTCTCAAGAACTCAAATCAAGCATTCTAGTGTTTTTTGTTGTTGTGGGGATGTATAAGTACCCTGCCACGTCCACTCTGTGTTCTTGTTAGATGTATTTCTATTTGTATCCATCTGATGAGTTAAGCCTTTTATAGCTGAGTTTTATAGTTTGTTCTTATGTTGTACTGGTACACCACTGTCCCAGGTTAAGGGTGGGTTGGCGCCTTCAAACTACTTTAACCCCGCCACATTCTGTATGGGCTTGTCCCAAGTCGGGAGCCTGTAATTCAGTGGTTGTTGTTTGTTGATGTGTATCATATCGGTTTTATGTTCATTATTTTGTACATAAATTAGGCCGTTAGTTTTCTCGTTTGAATTGTTTTACATTTGTCATTTCGGGGCCTTTTATAGCTGACTATGCGGTATGGGTTTTGCTCTTTGTTGAAGCCGTACGGTGACCTATAGTTGTTAATTTCTGTGTCATTTGGTCTCTTGTTGAGAGTTGTCTCATTGGCAATCATACCACATCTTCTTATTTTTATATTCTAATACTTTTTGTCAAGGTCTTAAACAATTATGAATCGTTCCAGTACGGCCTTGTGATGTTCGGGAAAAAAACCAGAAAGTTCGATGGTCACAGAACTGCGTTTGAAATATAACGGATAGAGAGCTCGGGAATGCAAATTGGTCAACGTATTTTATAAATAAAGTATAAACATTAATTTTAATGTCATTTATATAGAATTTAGCCATAAGGATTTCAAATATGGGAGCATGCTTTCGTTATATATTTTCAAAAACTCGGAATAACGAAACCGCAAGAATTCTTTTCAATATTTATTTTAATACAAAGTAGACCAAATGTTGTAATTTTTACCATTTTTTGTCTTTAAACTACAGAAATATACCTACTGTCTGGTGAAAAGTCAGATATTGTTAATCAATTGATTTTTACATCGGATGACCGTGAGGGCATTCCGGTGTATTGCTGTCGCCTAGATTTCCATTACGTCATTTTCGTGTTGGGATTGTAACCGATCTATACACACGATAAATACGCGGACATTATCGAGTGCAAATAATATATAACAACAAACCAGATTATACTGATTTGTATCACTTCAATATCATATTTATTACGGTGAGGTTGAATTCCCTGTCATTTATTTATCATCCACGCACGAACTTGTCTAAGAAAAAAAAAATTAAATCTGTACATTAACCTCACTTTCAGGTATAGAGATGTGATTTTTTTTCTGAGACAAGTGCTTGTGACCATTCACAAGAACTTGCAGTCATCCGATGTTCAGTACTTCAGTACTTTGATTAAGTAAAAACGTCTAAGGAAATGATGTACGTAAGACAAATTGGATGTAATGGGAGTACTAAGTACATAACTTATGGAAATCAAATGTGTGTGTAATTGTATTAAGAATGATAAGCATGACGACATATACATAAAATATGTATAAGACACATTCCTTTTAAATAGGTACAACGTTATAGTTATATAAAAGAACAAGCAATAAAAAACAAACACTCAGTTACATGTTGAATAATAAATAATAAATTTTAAAAACAGAAATCTTATTAATGACTCTTGTCCGTACTTTACCTTGTCATATTATAACACCGAAATACGTCGTTAACACAGTTTTACATACTTTCTTTGGTTCAAGGATAGTAAGACAATGATATCTTCTATTTTGTTAATCGTAGTTTTGGCAACTCTTGTAGTAGATCTTGAGTGTGGGACTAATTTCATGAAACCAGTATTCAATGCAATGACAACATATTTATGGGCAAAAGACATATACAGCAATGAAACAGTAACCGATGAAAGTACTGTCATGTACAATGGGGAAGTATGTCAGATTGTAAATTTAAATCTGCTGATGAGACATGTTGCCAGGTATCCATCACTTTACTGGATACGAAGGATGGAAAATTTGCATAATATGATCAAGAGTGACCCGGATGTAGTTAAGAAACACAGATTCTTGAAGACATGGATAATCCCGTTTGCAGAAGAACATGCATATTCCATGTCCGCACTAGGAACCGAAGAAGCGACAGCTCTAGGCAGAACATTCGGAAAAAAATTCAAACAGTTATTTGAAGGGAAAACTAACCTAATAGATTATACCATAACAAGCAAGGAAGTTACTCGGCAAAGTTTTGTTGCGTTCTACAAAAGTTTGAATGAAACGTTACTAGCTGATGCATCTAGACCAAATCCAGCGGTGGACGATTCAAGACTCCGTTTTTATTCAAAATGTAAGAAATATAGAACGTACAGCGATAAATCAAATGTAGAATATGATTTATTTGTTGGTGGAATACAGATGAAAACAGTTGTTGATAAGATAAAGACACTACTCGGGATGGCAAACTTAAACGCAGGTACTTACTTTATGCTTTCCCACTGAAATTAGGTCGAAAGTTTATAATTTAGGTATATCGGCAAAGAAATGAAAAATACTGATGTAAATCGTGTTGGCAAAAATCAATATATTTATTAGAAACTCATAATAAATAACAGGCTTCATGTCGGAGGCTTTTAAAGCCGACTATACGGTATGAGTTTTTCTCATTGTCGGCAATGATACCACATCTCCTTATTTTTATATAAACATTTGTACACCAAACGAGCGTTTCGTCTACAAACGACTCATCAGGGACATTCGAATAAAACAAGTTAAAAAGGCCAAATAAAGTACGAAGTTGAAGAGCATTAAGGACTCAAAATTGCGAAAGGTTTTGCCAAATACAGCTATGGTAATCTATTCCTGCGGTAGAAAATTCTCACAATAGAAGAAGAGACAGACCTAAAGATAAAAGCAAAACAAAAAATAATTATAAAAAACAATCGTGCAAGGAAGAACCACAACCTGTCGTCGCAACAGATATCAACATATGTTTTAGACAAGTTCTTCATCTTATTTACTTGATTTGTTGTATGCATTTATTTTTCACTTAGTTATTTACATGTGATATCTAGACGTTTATTTAGTTCTTGTTTGTGTAACTTTTTCAGATTTAAAATTTTAGAAATATATTTTCTGTCAATACATGGTGACTAGAATGTTTATCATTTCAGAACAAGTCATCACCATGCATCAGATTTGTGCCTTTGAACTTGGAATGTTTAACAAATCAGACTGGTGCAGCTTTTTCACTTTGGATGATCTTAACGTGTTAGACTACCTATTTGATTTATCGGTAAGATAGTGAATTTTTTTAAACTTTGGAATGAATGATATTTCCTTCAGCTTCTATCCCAGATAAAGGATGTCCTAAAATGTGTTATCTAAGATAAAAAAAAATCATTCACAACTCTTTGAGAAAATAGTCAAATAACGTTTTTCAACGGGACAAACGTACCCGTCATGCATTTCACAAGTGCCTTTTTTCGTCCATAGGTACTTGAGGACAGGACATTTTTTTTAGATCTTCCCTTTTTTCCAAAATCCGTTATTTTTTGTTTTCTATTACTTTCAATTATTATAACTTTAGTTTACTATCCACAGCGGTCACTGATATATTATATAGAGCTTCTCTCTCTATAGTAAAATTGGAATTGATATTAAATAGCAAATACAAGTTATTTCTAGTATATTTATGTTCATATAATACAGAAAAACGCGAAAATAATTGAAATTAATAGAAAACAAACAAATAACGGATTTTGGAATAAAGAGTGATGGCTAAATAAATTTGTCCTGTCCCCAAGTACCCATATTCTCGTCAGCAGTTTGATATATCCGTGATCTATGACTAACTGAGTGATTTATCATTTGTCACAATGCCCTTTGTAGTAAAATTTGCGCCTTGTCAACTGTTTAACCAAATATGATGTGCAAGTTCTTAAGGTTTTATTTTTAGTTTTTACATAGCATGCATAAGGAGACGTGCTGTTTAAAAAATAGTCTTGTGTCTGAATAACTCGGACATCCGATGTTTATTAAGGGAGAAAATCTAATGTAAAAACAAAAACGTCAAGCAAACTAAAAAATATTATCATATTTCGTGATATTATTTATGCTTGTTTACTTTACAGCACTACTGGCAGAGAGGTTTTGGTTACGCAATAAACTGGCAAATGACCTGTCCTTTTACTAGTCACATGTTCAAACGATTTGATGACACCATCGCAAATCAAAATGAGTGAGTAGGAAAGTATAAAGTTGTGGAGCCCTTTTTTAACACATTGAGAAAAAAATCTTTAAAACTGAGTTTAAAAGTCTGACACTACAATCATGCATGTTAAAACGATAATTCAATGTAATTATTGTTGTGTATGTCCTTGGTACGATAATGTTCCATTTGGTGAGAAAGGTGCTTATTCATTTTGGGGTCTTAAGGTCACAACAGCTATTGATAGAATGAAATTTTTGCTAAATTTTAGGTTCCACGTGTTGTCTTTGAATTATATATTCAACAACTTTTCCTCTCCTACACGAACCCTGTGGGTTTTCGTAGGTGGCCTGTTATATCCAGGTTCCCTCCATAAACACCATTCCCTTTGTTTTCCATTAGCAGTAAAATTCCCGTCACTTCCTCTGGTTCTATCTACTATGAACACCTGTTTAATTAATTTACTGCCAAAATATATCTTAGTTCTAACATGCATGATGGAAGATCTCAGACGGATAGTCTTTATTAAATATATTCACAATGTTTCCGGTTCTGGAAGATTTCGAGTTTGACACTTAATTGTATATACATGTCCTGCCTATTGATAAACATTTTGTGTTGATCTCCGGGTGTCTCGTTTTTTTTTTGTCGATGAATTGCTATCTCAATAGCACTTACCCCACATATCTTTTCATTCATATAAAATACTTGCCACTGGATTCAAACAACAGTCAACCAATCACTTACAATCAATCATTATGCAGCCGTGTTAAACCAATATTACCTACGTGAAAGGAAGTTTAACAACATGTTAGAAAATTACAGAAGCACCATCTGTTGATAACTTACGTCAAATGGTTGGGGTCGTCAAAAATATGGTTCAAAAGACAAATTGACGAAACCAAAAATTAGCATAAATTTCATTCTATCAATAGCTTGTTTGGGCTTGTTTTTTAACCTATTGATCTCAAAACGAATAGGAATCATCCAGTGGCGCATTATCGAACCAAGTTTGGTAATAACCAAAAATTACCAAAATGTCAGTCTCTGAATAGCTGCTGCGTATTTGTACTATAAACTATGATCTGTAAATCAATAGGAGTCTCTCCATCTCATTGGGCCTTATCGAACTAAGCTTGGTTAACAAAATGAAATATGGTACAAAAGATAACATCTGAAAACAAAATTGTTGCCTCAATTTCAATCTATTAATAGCCGCTATGACATTGACCTTTGATTAACGAATCCCAAGATCAATAGGGTGTCTTGTACTCATACTCCAAAATCAACCAAGCAAAAGGCTGGATTTCATGTTTCGAGCACGATTTTTGTGCTCCGAGCACTGAGCAAAGTTTTATGACCCCAGAAGGCTTTGAAAATATTTCTTTGTCGCAACTCGGTTTAAAAGTCAGAAGAAATGTTCTAAAATAATATTAGTAAAAACAAATCAACACTTTTAGCACAATAATTAACAAAAGATGTGAAAATAGGAGTGATTATTCATGTAAAATCTTAGCCATACGTCTATATTTTTGTTATTTTCTTTACAGGACTACAGTAGCTGATATCCAATTTGCGCATTCTTACACACTTCTCCCTGTTTATACAGCATTTGGATTATTCAAAGACTCTAATAAACTTTTAGCTAACAATTATGAAGCAAACAAAAGTCGCCGATTTCGGGTTAGCAGGACATGTCCATTCTCAGCAAATTTAGGTACTGGCCTTTACAAGTGTGAAGTTAGCGGGAATTTTGTCGTAAAAATGTTTGTGAATGAAGACGCAGTTGACATTCCTGCATGTGGCAGTAAAGTGTGCCTTTATCAGGAGTTCAAACAGGCCTATAAATTTCTCGATGATTGTAACTTTGAAAAGATTTGTAGAACACAATAAAAGTTTTCTTGAATATATATGTTTCGAAGTCGTCTCATACAGCAACGAACCTGCAAAAATAAGCAACCTGTAGTTGTTAATTTCTGTGTCATTTGGTCTCTTGTGGATACTGTGGATTCATTATTATTCGTGGGATACCAATTTTCGTTGATTTCGTGGTTACAGGTGAACCACGAATTTAAATATTCAACGAAATACAAATATTCTCTAGGCTTGTATGCAGACCTTAATAAAACCACGAAATCAAATATTCACGAAAATACAAAGTTTCCTCAATCCACGAAAATTGGTACCCACGAAAATAAATGAATCCACAGTAGTTGCCTCATTGGCAATCATACCACATATTCTTATTAATATAAGTCAGGTATCTACAGTATATATGTCAAGAATTTAATCGCGCAAGTATAGATGAGTTATTAACATATGTAACAGAATTTTTATCAGTGATCTCTTTTTGGCACAAACTTCAGAAAGTAACTATCAAAATATGATAACTTGACTGACAAGGTTTCTGGGTTAGGACGCATGAACAATGTGAAAGGGTATTGCAGTGTAGAGAGCAGATTTAACTGTATATATGGTATCCTTTATATTTATATATTCACAAACCTTAGAATTATTGAGTTAGATTACTTATAGTTAAACAGGAAGTTAAAGTATAAGATTCGGTTCTTTTTATGTTTCCTGAGAAGCCCCTGTATGAAGTTTTTTGTCTTACGAATAAAGTAACAAGTCGGCGAGAAGAGGATCACTTATTCTTTCCATATGAATGTATATGTTGAAATGATTCGGTGGTAGTCTGTGATTTGGAACGTGCGACTACACCTGTCAGTTTTTGCACACTCTGTACTATAGGGTTTTCTCTCAATCTTCAAACTTCATCTAGCCTTCATCTTTTGTACTGTGTTGCTGCTCATGTAATGTTTCTACATTTTGAGTTTGGTGGACGATATCCAACTATTTATAGGTCTATATCAAAAAGAGAGGCGGATGATGAACGAATTGATAATGTCAAGGCAAAAAAAAACCACCGAAAATCGACCAAAAGACGAACAAGTTTACAAAACGCAATGTAGAAATAAAGACTGAGCAACAGGAACCCAACCAAAAATCGGTTTTGTTTGGGGGAGTATCTCAGGAGGCCCGGAGGGTAAGCAGATCCTGGAAATATACGTCTTAGTTCATCAATTTCAAAACCTTCACAAAAACACAATTAATAAACCAACAGTGGTAACTGATCACAGTAGCACATAACTCGATCCGGTCATTATATGTGATGCAATGCAATTTTTTTCTGAAGAACTTAATATACCTGTTAAGTTTTTTTTATATCTATAAATGAAATATAACAACGGGTCATTAGTTTTCAAATAGTTATGTGTATGAATTACTTGTAAACATCGAGAAACATTAGTTCAACCTTATAGCATCTAAATATTTGTACTATGATACGGTTTTGAAAATTGTATTCATTGTGTGTTGACCAGCTATACTACATGTACACGTCTTGATTCATTAACATTATACACCCTGTTCATACGCACTTTAGTTTGCGTTCACAAAAATTCCGGATAAGATGTCAATGAATCCGGAGTCAAAATACTTGAGGTAGGTAGTTTGACATCCGAATTGAACTACATGTATTAAATTAAAATATGTGATGACGCAAATGCGTATTCTTATCCAGAGTATCAGTGCATATGCTTTCTATTTACTATTTCTTGCGCAAAAATACCACGTTCAGGCATAAATATTAATTTTTTCTCGCGAATGCGAATTTTCGCTTTTCTGATTTAAATTCTGGACGCGGTAGTAAGAGCTTGACATGTGATTTTCAAACACGCTCATCATTGCTTACGGTATTCTGACCTCTAGCTGTTTCTCTTTTGTTTTCTTTTTTGAGTAACTATCCTTTTATAAATTTTGACATTTTCGAAATGCCAAGGATTTTCTACCTGAGGAATAGATTACTTAACTTCGTACTTTATTTGGCTTTTTTTTTTTTTAACTATTTTTATTCGAGCGTCACTGATGATTCTTTGTAGACTTAACTCAAGTCTGGCGTACAACATGTTTATCCTGGTATCTTTTCATATCTACATGTCTTTTTATTTAAATTGGTTCTTTTGAGATAAAATTGAGAATGGAAATGGGGAATATGTCAAAGAGACAACAACCCGACCAAAGAGCAGACAACAGCTAGCCGAAGGCCACCAATGGGTCTTTAATGCAGCGAGAAAAAATTAAGAGTATGTTTATGTATTCATAAAACTTCTGAAAATAAGATATTCTTCAAAACCAAGTTTCCCTGTAGAATATATGGATTGATTTAAGAAAATCAGGAAATCCTTCAAATTTGAGATGTTTTATGAGACCAAAATAAATCTAAATGCATCCAGATTATAAAGCAAACTGAGTGCTTAAATTTGTATTGTAATTGGTTTGTGCAATTTGCATTATACATCCGGTTTGCACAAACTGGGATTTGCAATAGGTCTGAAAAAATTATGTACAATCCCAAGTAACAAATGAGATAGTTGATCTTTAAAATGTATATTGAAATAGTAGCTGTGTATAAACTATATTCACACATTTCTATTCACAACTATCCAACATTACTTTCAACTGACTTGTGCAAGAATGTACACACTATTACATATTTTTAATAAAGGTAGTTGAACTTCATCATTATCTTCTTCTATTCACATTCAATTATTTCAATTCAAATGGAAACAAAAATTCAGCAACAATCTTTTGGTGACCAGTCAGCGGTTTTAGGTTCACGTATTGTTTTTCTTTTTTTAAAGAAAGCAACTTGTTTTGTCCATTGATTTTTTTTCTACCTACTTCGTGTTTTTTCAATAGTAAAATAAAGAAACTTAAATTTGAAGTTATAAACATGATTGAAAGTCCATGATATTAATTTTCCTAAGAAAATAAGACCAAGGACTAAGGACACATGAACATATTTACCTAGGAATATTAAGAACATTGACATGTTTACCGAGGAAAATTAATTTGTGGACTTTTATTACTAACATCGGACTAAAAATACCAGTAAATTATGTAGCCATGGACTTTTTATACTTATAATTTGAGTTCGCCTGGACACGTTTTTCCAGGAAATATAAATAAAACAAAAACGAACAAAAACGAACAAAAAAAACCCAAAAAAGTCGTAGTTTGTGTTCATTTTACAAACAAATCACATCGTATATATTTAAGAGTACGGCATTGCAAAAGGGGCGGAATTTATGAATATTTTTCAACTGTTAAAATATTTGTTATGAGATCCACCCGTGATTTTTTTTCTCTGAAAATGCCAATTTTGAGAAGAAACGGAAACAGAATTTGAAATCAAGAAGGTAATAGGCCGAAAAATACGGGCATCAATAAAAAAACACTTAGTGTGACAAATACACAGATATTAGTTCACGCCTTTTCAAATTTTACTCCGTTTTGCTCTCTGAACATTTTTACTCCGACTTGGGACACTACCAGAGAAGAAGAAGAAAAATTAGTAGATGTGATATGGTTGCAAATAAAACAACACACATGGCAGACATGACAACCACTGCAAAACAGGTCCCTGGCTTAGGACAGGCAATATATGCCCTCAATATTAGAATTCATTCATACATTTATGTAAATTATTGAAAATTATCAGTCAAAATGTGTTCTAAAAGGATCACCAGTCCTTCGCCTTTCATATGATACCGTCGAAATTACCAAAATATATTCTACATAGTTTAATATTTACACTTATTACATTGGTAGCATTGAATTACATTGATTTCCCAGTCAAATAAAAACCGATAATTTCACATGTGAAATAAACGTGGTTATTTCACTCTCTGACGTCATACAACAATAGGCGTTGTCAAGACGTCGATAACGTCGGATCAAAACAAATTGTGAATGCGTAGAAAAAAGATATAGTTCCTTACATTTTCTACATTAATTTCATTAAAAAAAGCCATTTGCCAATGTAATAAAAAGAATAACTAATCAAAGAATTCAAATATCGAAAAATATTCAACTCGTGACCGAACAACACTGATAATTAACTCATGCGCTACGCGCATTCGTGAATTAATGTGTTGTTCGGTCACTCGTTGAATATTTTTCTCTATTTGAATTCTTCGATTAGTTATTCTATAACTATGCGTAGGAAATAGTTTGTTTTAAATATGTACTACTTTCAATAATAGAAAAAAAAACAAAGGATATGGGGTATCCATCCATGTACATGCACAGCAAAAAAACACACACATAAAGCAAAGGAACGGCGCTTTTATTGCTGTTCATCATCTCAAAGTGACAGTGAGGCCTTCAACACAGACAAAAAAAAAATGTTCTTTTTGACAGGGCCCGATTTGGTGGTGTTACATCTTACAAAGTCTATCCGAATTATTATGCAAAGAATTTTTTGCAAACCGGTGCTAGGTGCCGTTTTAAACTTGAAGTGAGATGAGGGTTACTTTGAGGGTGAAGAACAGCAATACAAGAGCTGTGCCTTTGTTTTTTGTGTTTTTTTGCTGTGCAAGTACTGATTTTGTCCTGATTTTGAGTCATGGATGGATGTCCTATATCCTTTGTTTTAATATTGTAAGAATCATGCGGGGTTGATATATTTGTTGGCACAAAACCCTCCTCCTAGTGGGACAGACGTGTAGCAAAACAACACGTACATTGTGAAAATAAATAATTGCAGATGATTGTGCAAATAATTATAAAACTGTGCACTTCATTTAAATCCATGCAGAATTGTGAAAATAATTGTAAAACTGTGCACTTGAATTGAATCATTGCATAATTATGCAAATAATTGTAAAACTGTGCACTTGAATGAAATCATTGCATAATCATGCATAATCATGCAAAAATTGCAAAATCTGTGCACTTGAATTTAAATCATTAACGTTAACTTTTATATAAGACATGAAATAGGAATTATGCAGCATTTTGCTTTTTGTGTTCAGTACGAATAATGCATGCCCGATTAGTCTGATATAGGTGTATTTGGGCATGCCCAGTTTGTACCATAATTGTTTCGCATCACCGGCGGTGCGGAGCTATTAGTTTCAGTCGATATACACGCCATCTTGTCTTGTCTTGTCTTGTCTTGTCTTGTGTGAAGATCCTGCCTTTCAAAGGCACAACTCTGGTTACAGAGTAGAATATGGTGTATTTAACACCCACTAAATGTTTATTACACTTTTAAAATCTAAAACAAAAGATAATATTCACGCCTTTGACTGAGTGGTTGCAAGCTATCCTTTCTTTTGATTCACCGGCAATGTTAATAATATTGTATTACGTCTAATGTGCAAAGTAAAGCAAAGTTTTCTACTTATGTATTCTACAAGATGAAGAAAATCTGTAAATCCAGATTTACATTGACAGTTACAGAGCAAGGCACTAGCATCCAATATTAGTTGTGTACTGATTAAGAAATAATTCATGGAAGCTATAGATTTGTTGGAAATTTACACATGGCCCAGGTCATGTGTAAATTTACAACAAATCTATGGCTTCCATGAACTATTTCGATTCTAATAGGATAAATACGGTCATTAAAAAACTGAAGCGAGGGTGGGTATCAGCTGTGTGTGTGGCTATTCTTCTTTGCTCCCTGTAATGTAAAGCTCAAACATTCTAATAAATCTGTAGCTTGTATAGATTACTCGTGAATAACCGCGAGAAAAAAATCTGTTTAATTCTTTTAATTCTAAAACCCAACATTTGCCATTTTTAATTTACATGTTTTTCTCATAAGCTACCGTCAAATCAAAAGTTGACATTTCTTAACTAAGGAGCCGCCATGTTGACTTGCTGAAATCAGTAAATATGCGAATAATGCAATAGAATAGAAAATAAAACAAAACCTACCTCAAGAATCAATTTTAATACAATATTATACGAATTTCGATGGTTTCACCTAACGGAAAACCTTCAACTCTAGCGTTTTCATTGTATGACGTCATGTTTTGAAATGACTTAAATGCGCCGAAAACATTAATAGACTTTCGCGGAATTTTATTTGCTTTTGATTTTGTTGATTTCTCCGAGCTCTTGTGCATTAATTCTTTTTATTATGCATCCGAATAAGAATAAAAATTCTTTTGTCTTTTTTTAAATGCAATTTTTAAAACAATAAAATCGGCAAAGGGTTTGCAAATAGGTTCCAATACATGTGGATTTACGTGGGAGGTATATTGTAACATTCATTATTATGTATATCTCTGAATCTGCGCTAAGTATAGATATATCGAGAATTTTATCACGGTGTTGTTTACAAAGCGAAAGAAGCACGTCATATCAGAATTTCTAGTTTTTCTAATGTTCTACATTTCGGACAGAGCTCGCTTTTATTGATAATATTTGAAAGTTCAAGCAGGTGATAGTTTCTAGCAGAAGCTTAAGCAGGATATGAATGAATGAAATGATCTAATGTTTCAGCGTCCTCCTCGCATAAGAGACATGTTGGGTTGATGTCAACTTGGTTGAAAGCTGCCCTATTACACTACTGGAGAATGTATGTACCAGTAAGGAGTCTAAGTTTGATGGGGAGACGCTGGATGTCTTTTGCAGAAGTCTGGACACTTGCTAGAGCATTGTATAGATGACCAGTTTTATAATTGGATTTAGAAATAAATGAAATACTCTTGTAGTAGACAGACATGGTAACCACATGTTCAACCCAGAAGGTGTCAATCGCTTTCCTGATAGAGTTCTTCCATTTTAATTTTGAAGGTGGTTCATCTAAAATGTTAAAGATTGATGGAAGGCTGTATTTAATTAATAAAGATCTGATTTTTGTGAACCAACTGTCCTTTACGGCTGTTGAGATGAGGATTTGTCTTTCTGCGACTTGTCTGTCTATAGAGTTCTCTTGTCTTGAAATGTTTCAAAAGTTCCCAAAGCTAGTTTATGGATTTTAATAATTACTGGAATCGTACCCGACAGTATATACACAGCCATGTCTGTTGTGTTAGTGGGAATAGATAGGATTTGTTTGATGCTTTTCCGATAGAAAATTACAATTGGTTCCAATTGTGTAGAATTTGGCAATAGTATTTCTAGGCCATAAATGAGTACTGGTAACACATAAACTTGGAATAATTGTAGGCATGCTACAGGATTAAGGCCGTTCTTGCCATGCAAGCCTGTCCCCATCAAACTGTACATTGTTCTCCTGGCTCTTGAAATGATTTTTTGCTTTATGATGCGGCTGAGATACAGGTGGCACGGTAGCAGTATTTACATTCCGAAATTTAGGTTGCTCTTTTGTGTACCTTACTTAAGTCAAATTGAATGTATCTGAACAGTGTGATTGGACAAAAAATACAGTATCTACTGAACAAACTTTCCCAAACTGAGGGACGAATCAGGTGTAGAAAAATATGAAATAATTGTACATACTGGTGAAAATGAATTTTTGAGAATTTTTTTAAATTTTGTATTCAGTGCATGATAATTCATGTTCGTCTTATTATGCATATATTGCACACTGAAATTCAATATTGAAATATCGTTTATTAATACGTGTTTATTTGCTTTGTTAATCTGCAATAAGCGCGATTTGTTTTGCTAAACAATATTCCTATACAATGTTTACAAAAATGCATTATCTCTTTTTTATAACTTCTACCAATCTAGGCATACTTTCAGAGAGGCACACCTCCAGAGTCGTGTATATTTGTAAACTGTTTTAATTTTCAACAAGTAAAGTGAACAAAATTTTAAAAGCATTTTAACGCACACTCTTAAAGTAGAACAACGTTGTTTTCACTGAAACTAAATATTTATTGCTGTTTCTTATTTATTTTAACTGTTGTAAATATCTTTTGGTTGTACAAGTCTTTGTTTACCCACTCCACAAAAACACATTGACAACTAAACACTGAACAGCCAGTTTAAAATTTCAGAAAAGTGCATCTTAATATATACAAACATTGATATTCCAAGTCTAAGACATCCATTTTATATTAATCAATATTTAAAAATACCACATTTCCAATACTTAATCAACAACCACATGCACATATATTACTTTAAATCATGATAGAGCGAAGCAGACCACAGCTTTTTAGAAAGCTGAAACTTGGTGTGGATAAGATTATCTTCCATATAAAGAGGGATAACTCTAATAAATTTCGTAACATTTTACAATGAAAAAATATTATTGAATATAATTAGTAACACAATGCATTCAAACTTATTATAATCTTACATGAAGATAACAATGTGACACACACACACACATATATATATACATATCTGTATAAAAACTTATTTTAAAAAGTGTTGTTAGTGCATCATCTGACCAATAACCCAAAATAAAGGGGACATAACTGTGTAAATAAACACAACATCTGCCTGTGAGAGGTTTTTTAGCGATAATGATAAGATAAACCTACTTAGAAGAAGTCAGAATGTCGGACACAAACTTAACTGCAATTTTAAAGAAGCAAGGAGATATTCAGCTCGTACGTACAACATGACATTTCCATTTAAACTGTTTAAACCAGCATTTCTTGTTTATTAATATATTTCAGTTGCAATCAGCTGATTCAAACACAGTTCAAAGGTGCACTTCAGAAGTTCAAGTGTTATCATAATATATAAACGTTATTGTGACCTGTCTGAATTTAAGACAGCCCTATCTTCTTCAGCAAACATTTGTTTGTACATTGTTAGGATGCATTTCCAACTATTAACTGATTAGAGTGGGGTGCTCATTTTCGCCATAATTTCCATGTTTTCTGCAGTTTATGTTGAGGTCTTTATGTTTTTGAAGTATACTGATATTTCTATATGAAGATAACATCAAAAGCAAAATATTCTTAGCTTGAAAACGTGTTTCTTTGAAAAATTCATCTGAAAAGTTAGATTAAAGGCTATTTGAAATTTCCTGATGTTTTGTCAAAATGGGACACATATTCGCCATTTTTACACATCTATTTAAAACCAAATAACTGCAGCTTTAAACAATATTTATCAAATCAATTTCATTATAGATGAATAGCAGACATTTCAAAGGTGTAAAGAACTGAAATTTAGGGCAATCAGTCAAAGAATTACTAAGAAATACTTCTTTAAAATTGTGTTTTTCATTCAGGAAATTGGCCGAAAATCGTTGTCTGTTTTACGGTCCTTTGCGGTAAGTGCCGACATTTTGTCTAAGTTTAAAAAATAATCATATTTGTTATAATATTAATTACCGGCATATTTCTTCCATTTCAGCCATCCTTTGAAGTTTTTACACCTCAAAATCACAAAACAGCGAAATTGTGTCCCCGGCGAATATGTGCGCCCCACTCTAACACTTAAACAACAATTTCATGTAAAAAATGCCAAAATAATACTATAGGCCTAATAAACTTAAAGATAATATTTATTAGCTCAAACAGTCACATTTACAAGAAATGGTTAAGGCATGATTATAAAGTAAAGACAACGAAACAGACAATTGCACAGTAAAAAAGAAAAAGAAAAGAGGGTGGTCGACAGCAGTGGCTTTCATATGAGAATAAAAAAAAATACGATACGGTGCAGTCTAGTGTATTCGCGCATCTAAGACTTTTGGCTTCACTTTGGTAATCTCATAAAACCAATATGGCAATAATCGAATAATATTGTGTGAACAAATTCATGACATACTTTAATTTCATGAATTCTTCTTTATGCATGTTATGCATGTTTTCACTCTTAATACATTTGTATTTAATGTACCGGGTAATGTGTGTCTAAAATAAGGGAAACCTGTTTGACAGTTCTTCAAATGTCCGGTGATTTTCGCACATGCCTTCTAAAAATAGCTAATTTTGAATACAGGAAAGATTTTATAGTCAGGGGTACTACTTATATAAGTGATTTCATTATCACCTATTTCAGTGTTTTGAAAAATTCAGTTATCACCTATTTAAGTGATTTTGGTGTTTCCTTTGATCTTCAAATGCTAATTTCATTAGCTTTCCATATTTTGACAAATTTTTCTTTAATTTTCCTACATAGATCAATTATCCCTTTCTCTTTTGTATTAATTTCACCAGTGCGCTTGGACAGTAAGTTAGTGCGCTAAAGCTTTTAATTGTACCCTTGGAAATTTTTCTGTAATCAAATATTCATTAACTACTCCAGGGACTTTCTATACTGACTAGCTTAGTATAGAAAGACCCTCACTACTCTTACAATCAGACAAAGGTCAACAATTTTAAGTAACCTGATTGGTGTTCTTTAGAGTTAGAATGATCACTTCAAGGTTATGTCCTGATCTAAAAATTATTCCAGTTTATGCATATTTTGAGTCTGTGTCTATTTTTGTGGAAATTTTCAATTTTTCAAAGCCATAATCACTTAAAGATGTGATTCTGAAATCACTTGTATAAGTAGTACCCCTGACTGATACTGGGAGATATACTGTGAATTCATTTTTATGCCCCCGCCGTAGCGGTAGGGGCATTAAGTTTTACACTTGTCCTTTGGTACGTACGTACGTCCCAAAATTGGTTTCCGTTCTCTAACTTAAGTTTGCCTCAACCAAATGTTATGAAACTTATACACAATGCTTATTACCACAAAACACAGATCAAGTTTGAATTTTGGTGGCGTCACTTTAACCGTTCTAGAGTTATGCCCCTTTATAAATGGAAAAATTGCAAAAAAAGTTTCCGTTCTCTAACTTAAGTTTGCCTCAACCAAATGTTATGAAACTTATACACAATGCTTATTACAATGTACCACAGAACACAGATCAAGTTTGAATTTTGATGGTGTCACTTTAACCGTTCTAGAGTTATGCCCCTTTATAAATAGAAAAATTGAAAATTTTTATTTTCTTCTAAATATCAAGTAATTTTTAAAATTGGAGTTATCTTCCTTTGTCCATGATTATAGTTGCATCAACTACAATCAATGCTTTATACAATGCAATGTTTAATTTTGACTTCCACTGATAAACACAGATCAAGTTGAATTTGGGTAGTGTCACTTTAACCATTATTGAGTTATGCCCTTTATAAATCGAAAGATTGCAAAATTTTTAATTTCCATCTGTAACTTAAGTTTGCCCCAACCAAACATTATGAAACCTATACACAATATTCATTACCACAAAACTAAGATCAAGTACACATTTTTTGTTTCTGTTTTCTAACTTTAGTTTGCCTCAACCAAATGTTATGAATCTTATACACAATGCTTATTACTACATAATACAGATTAAGTACGAAATTTGGTGGCAACGCTTTTAGCATTCTTGCGTTCTGTCCCTTTATAAACAGAAAAATTGCTGAATTTTTTGTTTCCGTTCTCTAACTTTAGTTTGTCTCAACCAAATGTAATAAAATTTATACACAACCGTTCTAGAGTTATGTGTGTTTACAAATAGAAAAATTGCTGAATTTTTAGTTTCTGTTCTCTACTTAAGTTAGCCTCAACCAAATGTTATGAGACTTACACACAATGCTTATTACCACAAAACTCAGATCAAGTTCAAATTTGGGTAGCCTCACTTTTACCGTTCTTCAGTTATATCCCTTTATAACTATATGATATGCAAGCGGGGGCATAATCTGTGTCCACATGTGGACACTATCCACATTTATTATTCATAGAATTCATTGGATACCAATTTTCATGGATATTGTGGTTACAGGAGAACCACAAATTGAAATGTTAAACGAATTCCAAATTTCCCTATTGGAATGTATGCAGACTTTGGCAAAACCAGGAAATCAAATATCCATGAAAATGTAAGTTTTCCTCAATCCACGAAAATTGGTACCCACGAAAATAAAAGAATCCACAGTATTTCAGTTTGAACCAAACAGACTGCCAAGGATGCCCATTTTTCAACCAATGTTTAAAGTCTTGTAGTGAAATACCATTGTTCGGAAAGCAACTACTACTATAAATAACCCCTGGTTTTCTGGAAATCTTAAATAAGTATACTATGGACATAATGGAGGGCATTAATCCTCAAATTTTAAAAACTCATGGACAAGTCAATTTTGACTCAAAATGGTCTAAATATATTTCTTTTTCACCAAGTCTCATTTCTGCAAATTTATTGTTTGGTTTAAGTAAATAATGTCACCAAAAGCACTATTTCTTGTCAGGGAAGGGCTACTTTTACATATGTTCTAAATTGGAGTTGGTGAATTGCTGAAATTGTGTATAAATCCTACATTTATAAATTGTTGGTTTATCAATATTCTTAAAAATGCCTGAAAAGATTTAAATTGTATATATCCAAAATTTAATTACAAGAAACAAAATGCCTCTAGCTGAAGTTGAAAAAGAATTGTTTGAAAACAGTTGTAGGAGTATATATGTCTTTAGAAAATGGCTTTGTGATTGTTTGCTGTTCTCATTGTTTGATGGGTCATAAAATACTTAATACTAAGAATAGAAATACTGAATTTGGAATTTTATCCTGATAAACTTACAATGTATTTACCTTTTATATATACCATATACATGATATATATCCCTGGTTTTCCATGAAGATAACACATTGCATATATTAAGGTACACAAATAAATTTTTACAGTCAATAAGGCAAAGGGATACCTTTATATTCCTGAATTCTACAGAGAATGACATAATCACTATTGAGGGTGGTAAAGGGTTATTTTCGTGCAATGTGTTTTGCCATTTTTATTTCACGTGCAGCCGTGAAAAAGGTTCCTTATTCACCGTGTTTTGGAAATCGGTAAAAAGATCAACATGCGAGAAATTTTTAATTGTTCGTTCATCGTGAAATGGCAATTTTATTTCACGTTCTTCTGTGCAGATACCCCCCTTTAAGCCCCTCACTATTGTACCTGGAAGAAATATGTTAGTGCACTTAGATTATCAAATCTAGCCATGTCTAATTCGAGACAATTAATGTGAATAAATGGAGGTGTAGTGTATACAGTTGTATTAATTAATAAAACATCAAACCACCACACAATAACCTTAAGACATAGGTAGATCAGTATATTCTATAAATATAAAAATATATGATATATTTTAGGAAGACATCCCTATTCCAGAACCAGGTCCAGGGGGTAAGTGACTTCCTAAGTACAATGTATCAAAATAGTGGTCCATACTTAATATTTATGATATTTTGCATATAAACATTAAAACACATAAAATTACTATTATTAAAGTATTACATTAAACGCACATAGTTTTTAGGATACTATAACTTACTTTCAGCACTTTCTACCCTACTTAAATAAAATTATTTTCACTATTCTCTGACTTTTTTTTTATTTATTCATAAACGATAAGATAAGATTCAAGTTTGATATATTCACATTATTTTCTATTTGTAAAAGTCACATAAGTAAATTGTTGGTGAAAAGTATTTGGATCACAGTATTAATCCCTCTGACTGGTGATTACTTTAATACAGTGAATGTTGATCATTATACCCTGCTTTAAAAAAGTGGGGTTATACTGTTTTACCTCTGTCTGTCCATCCATCCGTCCATCCATCCATCCGTCAGTCCATCCATCCATCAGTCCATCCATCCGTCCGTCTGTCCGTCCGTCCCATCAATATTTTTTTGTCGCATCTTTCTCAAGAACTACATTATAAGGATTTCTGAAATTTGGTTTCAGGGTTTATATAAGTCAGGTAGACAGTGTGATGCGTTTTCAGATTCATCACTCAACAACTTCCTGTTTACCGTCAAGTATTTGGGCGGGGGTATCATCAGTGAGCAGTAGCTTGCAGTTTTACTTGTTTTACATGTTTTATTTCATTGTTCTTAAATAGAAAAATACTCAAGGTTGTCATAAACCTCAATATTGTATGTAAAACTAACAGTTAACATGCTCTATTCCAAAGTTATTGTACTGGAACTACTGCTGTATTTTAGAGGTACAGTTATGTATGCAGCATGTGGGTATCTGTGGATCAGATGTACACTACTGGAAACATGGAGCTATTGGAGATTTTGTTGTCAAGGCACCAATGATACTTGGACATGAAGCTAGCGGAGTCGTCAGTAAACTAGGCAAAGGGGTTAGCAATCTTCAAATTGGTATGGTATAATTTTGATTTACTGTGGATTCATATATTTTCGTGGGTACCAATTTTGTTGATCAAGGAAAATTTCTATTTTTGTGGATATTTAATTTCTTGGTTTTGCCAACTTCTGCAAACAAGCCTATAGAAAATTTGAATTTCGTTAGGCCATAAAAAAGAATATGTTTGTTTGCCCTAACCCTACCTACCTTGAAAATAGTGCTTACTCAAAATCTTTTATTGTCCTGATGTGAAAAAGTTTGTTATGCCCCCGCCGTAGCGGTTTCCGTTCTTTAACTTGAGTTTGCCTCAACCAAATGTTATGAAACTTATACACAATGCTTATTACCACAAAACACAGATCAAGTTTGAATTTTGTTGGCGTCACTTTAAGCGTTCTAGAGTTATGCCCCTTTATAAATGGAAAAATTGCAAAATTTTTATTTTCTTGTAAATATCAAGTAATTTTTAAAATTGGAGTTATCTTCCTTTGTCCATGATTATAGTTGAATCAACTACAATCATTGCTTTATACAATGCAATTTCCATTGATAAAACACAGATCAAGTTGAATTTGGGTAGTGTCACTTTAACCATTATTGAGTTATGCCCCTTTATAAATCGAAAGATTGCAAAATTTTTAGTTTCCATTCTGTAACTTAAGTTTGCCCCAATCAAACATTATGAAACCTATACACAATATTCATTACCATAAAACTAAGTTCAAGTACAAATTTTTTATTTCTGTTTTCTAACTTTAGTTTGCTTCAACCAAATGTTATGAAACTTATACACAATGCTTATTACTACATAATACAGATTAAGTACAAAATTTGGTGGCGACACTTTTACCATTCTTGAGTTATGTCCCTTTATAAACATAAAAATTGCTGAATTTTTTAGTTTGTCTCAACCAAATGTTATAAAACTTATATACAACCGTTCTAGAGTTATGCGTGTTCACAAATAGAAAAATTGCTGAATTTTTAGTTTCTGTTCTCTACTTAAATTAGCCTCAACCAAATGTTATGAGACTTTCACACAATGCTTATTACCACAAAACTCAGATCAAGTTCAAATTTGGGTAGCGTCACTTTTACCGTTCTTCAGTTATGTCCCATTATAACTATATGATATGCAAGCGGGGGCATCATCTGTGTTCACATGTGGACACTATCCACATTTATTTGGTCAAAATATAAACTAAACCTCGTATTTATTAATTTTTTTAATCAGATAGGCATGAAGACTCAAAATACATCTGACACTTCAATTTCTCTTTGCTGAAAAAAAAAGAAAATGCCTACCTACCTACCCACTGTCTCTCTACCTTTGGGTAGGGTTTGGGCTCACCCAAATATTTTAAAGTGTGGCCCTGAACATTTAAATTTGTGGTTCTCCTATACCAGCGAAATCAACAAAAACTGGTATCCCATGAATAATAATGAATCCACATTACCGGTAGGTTGATTACTGTAAATATAGAAACTATTGTATATTACAATATTATAGTTGGACAATCTAAACAAATGCAAGTGAAGTGCTGCATACAAATAATAGTACTAAAATTAAGATGCTACAGTAGTTTTTTTTGCAGCACCTATTATGTGGCAAGCATCGCAAAAATTTCTGAATTTACAGTATTTTCTATCTGTAACAGTGTAAATATTATATTGAAATGCCAATTTAACAAGGAAGTTATTATTCCTACCAATATTGATTGATGGTTTGTTGCTTAGCGTCCAGTGGCAAATATTTAATGCATGTTCAGGACGAACAAATATTGATGAAATGGGGAGTTTAATGATTGCCATAACTACATATAGTATTAGAGAATGCTTACTAAAAAGATTTGTGTACGAACATCTGTACATTATATTAGATAATACTATAGCTAGTCTATAAAAGACACAAATGATCAAACACACTTTTTGATGGATAATTTGACATTTTATGTAACAAGAACAGTTGAAGGTGATAAAGGAATTAAGGACCATGTATGTCAGCTTCTTGAAAACTTGGATTGCTTAAGTTGGAACACAACAAGAAAAGCAAGATTCCATATTTCTGCTTGTATATTCTTAGTCAGTTCAGTTAGGTTTTTTTTTCTTGTTTTTCAACAACATTAGGTTTTATAAACTCAGAGTTTAAGATTTGACAAACTCCACATTAAAGAAAAAAAGGTTATATCTGATAATAAATAAAATAATCTAAGAACTTTTTTATTATGGCCCGCCAACTTAGGTGGGGGCCATATAGTTTTACCTTACCTGTCATTCTGTCATTCCCCAATGAACAGTTATACAGACTTTTTTTCTAAATGCCTTCACATATTGAGCTAATTTCTAGTATGTGAGTCTACTCTAATGAGTTACAGATTGAGTTTAGGTTTTGTTCCACTCAACCGATTTTTGACAAATAACAGTCTTTGGACTTTGAAAATGTTGTGGAAATAACAGTTATACAGATTTTTTTTTCTAAAGGCCTTCACATAGTATGTGAGTCAACTATGATGAGTTACAGATCAAGTTTACGTTTGATTCCACTCCACTGATACGTTGCTAAAATTAAGGGCTTTGGACTTTGAAAATTTCCACTTCTAAAAATGGCAACCTTTTTTTGCGAGCAGGGCCATTCGTGTCATTTGGACACATCTAGTTGACAGTGAGCTTTTTGTTTCCAGACTTAAAAACCAAGGACGGTTTTAATTAAATTGTTGAATGAAAAATTGAAATTTTGCTAATTTTGACATAAAAAAAAGAATGCCTTTACATAAAGTTTCAACAACAAAAAAAGACCTATTTTCTATCTAGCCATTGTTTTAACTATGAATCATTGTGATTATGGCCATTACATCCTAACTTTAGTTTTATATATATCCTTTTGAAACAGCATACTTTTAATAAAGGGTTAAATGTTTGTAGGTGAATATGACTTATAAATTATTTTGATATTCTACATTTTAAATATTCTCAAATATTACCAAAATTTTATCTTTTGTTTGTAATTCTTTAACATAATAAATGTCAGTAGCGGAAAATCTGTTGAACAGGATTGGCTTAGGAATTAAATAATGTTAAAGCTAACAAATAGGTTGATTCATTCAAAGGAGCAGTTGCAAAATGATTGTTTCATTAAATTTTATAAAATACTTGCTTCCATTTTAAGTTTTCATACTATCAAAATATTTACAAATGTACATAATCAAATATTTCTTGTATTTTCAGGAGACAGAGTAGCCATAGAGCCAGGAGTACCCTGTCGGTTATGTTCTCATTGTAAACATGGCCGATATAACCTTTGTCCAGACATGAAATTTTGTGCTACACCTCCGATTCATGGTAACTTAGCCAGATATTATGTCCATGCTGCAGATTTCTGTTTTAAGTAAGTTCAAGGTGGCATTCACACAATTAATTAATATCAATCTCATCGTCAATCCTTCATACTTTTTATTAACCGTAATTAACTGTTTTAATCTGGGGAAATTATCAGAATAAGAATTTTGGAAAGATATAAAAAACATCTGATTGAAACCCCTTGCATTCTGATATTATCTATAGTGCTCCTGATTAGCATGAAAGAGGAAAAAATCAAGTTTCAAGACAAAAACGACTTACCTTTTAATACAAAATGTTGAAAATAGAAATGAAGAACCTTTGTACTGAAATGTATACAAAAGTATGGTGTAATAATGTTAGTTATGTTTCAATAGATTACCAGATAATATGAGTACAGAAGAAGGAGCTTTGTTGGAGCCATTGTCTGTAGGAGTTCATGCTTGTAATAGGGGAGGTGTTACTTTAGGCAGCAAGGTTCTTATTTGTGGAGCTGGTATGTACATATAGTAAAATAGTTTATTTTTAATGATTTTATTTGTATAAAAGAATAGGTAGAGACAATTATATGATGTAAGATTAAAACAAAAGACAGTCTGCACATACTGTGGATTCATTTTTGTCGAGCCTGCGACTTTTGTCGCAAAAGCGAGACATAGCGATCCGACATTCCGTCGTTGGTGTCGTCGTCGTAGGCAAGACACTGGGTTCCGTGGAACCCTTACAAATTTTTTTTCATGGGTACCAATTTACGTCATGTACGTGGATTGAGGAAAAAAATATTTTCGTGGATATTTTATTTCGTGGATTTGCCAAAGTCTGCATTACAAGCCTGTAGAAAATGTGTACTTTGTTGAACATTTAGATTTGTGGTTTACCCCATACCCATGAAATCCACAGAAATTGTTATCACACAAATAATAATGAAGAATCCTCAGTAATTTTTTATCTATGTTTAAAGAGACCACAGAAAATCTGCCATCAATTTGAAAACCTGTAATTAACAAAATAAAATTGGATATGACAAGATATCTCATGTAAACTAAATGCTACATATATAATTTATTGACTAAAATTAATCAGTATGTAAACAAATCACCTATGTGTCAAATAAAAAGTACTGAATGGGGTATTAACGCTAGTATTCAAGCTTTCTACATCAACACATAATTAAAAAATAATGATTGTAAACTGTATACAATACTTAAAGGGACATTAGCTGTCAAATTCATGTAAACTGATATAATCCAAAATCTTGTATATTATTTATAACATACTAAAAAGTCCAAAAGAAACAATTAACAATGCATGAACTACTTATGATGTACATTGTATCAGCAATTCATACATATTTTAGAATAGATGCTATCTAATTATCCATTGAGATGTTCACTTTTCAATGTTGACATTCTTTTCATTTTAATGAATGAACACGCTGACAACATGTTGATTACATGTGCAACACATCTCCACTAAGGTTTGAATTAAAGGTTACATGAATATAGATTTAAATGAGGTAGAATTATTGACTTGCAAGGCAGTAATACATCAGCAATGTTTTTAGCTTCTTTGGATGAAGTTGAACCAAAACTGACTGCTGATTGCAAAATATTGTTTCTATCTTCCGGTTTTTTATATGTTTGAAACAAACAAAAAAAATCATATTTTATTTATTGTCATATTTGTAGCTTTATTTGTATTTTAACTTTCAAAATGTTACATAAAATTGGAAAGTTTGCAGACGTAATATATGTTGTTACTGTTTTAAATGTAATCATAATTTAGATGTTTATAGTTATTAGTAGTATGTCATTTATACATGTATTTTATATTATCATGCTTTTTATATAATATATAACCGCCATAAAATGTTACCATTATACAAGGAAATTATAACAGACATTTACATAATAGTATACCATTTATATTGTAGGTCCAATTGGTCTAGTAAATGTATTAACAGCCAGGGCCAATGGAGCTGCTGTTGTTTGTATTACAGGTATAGAAAATAAAATTAAGTTTATATCTTCTGTTTTTGGGGATATACAGAGCACATTATTTTTTTTATACTTTGAGTATTTTATTTTAAGTAATATGTGTCATACTAAAATTGTGACATTGCTTTTATTCTGTACTTTTGAGGATTGTTAAATTCAGTATATATATTGTAATATTTTTCATGAAATGAAAGTAAGAGAAATGCTTTTCTTAAGAACATAAAAAACATTATGTTTTCGAAAAAAATATTTTGTTAAAGTCTTTCTTGTAGTTAAAAAAAGTTGTACGCCTTCAGCTTCACAGTTTTTGAGGTTATTTTAGAATTATATAGGTAGTAAAATATGAAAGAAAAAATGAAAGAAACTTCATTGTAGAATTAAAGAAGTAAATATACACTTAACATACAAAATACTCGGTAGAAAACAATTCTAAGTTGATAACACAACTGTGTAGAAAAAAGACAACACTGCTATGTAGACAACACTACCATTTACACAACACTACTCTAACACAAGTTTACGATAGGGGAAGGGTTTGGCGCCAGCAAACATGTTTAACCCCACCACATTCTATATGTGCCTGTCCCAAGTCAGGAGCCTGTAATTGAGTGGTTGTTGTTTTTTGCTGTTTCTCATATTTGTGTTTTCCTTTATTGTTTTGCATAGTTTGTTCTTGGGATGTGCCATTACACCACTGTTCCAGATAAGAGGGTGGGCACCTTTAAACATGTTTGACCCTGCTGCATTTTTTGTGTGTCTGTCCAAAGTCAGGAGCCTGTAGTTCAGTGGTTGTCGTTGTTTCATGTCTGTCATATTTTTTTTTTCGTAAATTGTTTTGTTATAAATTAGGCAGTTGTTTTTATACGCCCGTTTACGGGACGTATTATGGTATACCGTTGTCCGTCTGTCCTTCCGTCTGTCCGTCGTCAACATGTCGGACATTAACTCAAAAATGCTTTAACCAATATGCATAAAACTTTGGTGAATTGTTTATATCTATTGATGTAGGCTCCCTTTCGTTTTTTATAAAATTTAGATTTTACATTTCAGAGTTATGGGTTTTATTCATTAAAAAAAGGGGGATTTTCCAGTTTTCGGACAATAAGTCAAGAATGCTTTCACCAACTTGCAAGAAATTGTGGTGAATTGTTTATATCTATTGACATTAGCTCCCTTTCGATTTTTATGAATTTTAGATTTTACATTTCCGAGTTACAGGGTTTTATTCATAAAAAAAGGGGGGATTTTCCAGTTTTCGGACAAAAACTCAAAAAATGCTTTCAGCAATTCTTATGAAACTTTGGTGAATTGTTTGTATATATTGATGTAAGCTCCCTTTAGAATTTTATAAATTTTACATTTTACATTTCTGAGTTATGGGGTTTTATTCATTAAAAAAAGGGGTGATTTTCCAGTTTTTGGACAATAACTCAAAAATGCTGTCACCAATTCTCATGAAACTTTGGTGATTTGTTTATATCTATTGATGTAAGCTCCCTTTTTATTTTCATAAATTTCTAATATGACATTGAGAATTAATTGAACTTTATTTGTTTATAGTCTGACAACAGATTTACTAAGTATTGCACAACAGCAAGAAATCTTTAATTGAATATAAATTCAATTCATATAACCAATTTCAAGTTCTTTGACTACATTTATTCAGAAACCTATAATATGTCAAATATTTAATTACAATCCAAATTCAGACCTGAATCAAGCTTGAATATTGTGTCCATTTTTGCCCCAACTGTTCAGGGTTGGACCTCTGCGGGCGTATCCAGCTGCGCTCAGCGAAGCAGTTTATTTTCAGTTGAATTGTTTCATATTTTTCATGTCGGGGCCTTTTTATAGCTGACTATATAGTATGGTAGTCAGTAAAGGTAGTCTTTTCCTCAATTCCTCTCACCATATCGTAAACTTGGATATGTATGATGAATCTTTGAGGAGCTGAGACATTTTCACATGTGTGGTGAAATTTTCGGGTTACAAGATTCATTTTTCTGTAGCATACCCTGTAAAGCCCTTTGTGATGTGGCTTCTTGAAGTAAAAAGTACCTTTTTTCACACAATAAGTTCTTTGAAAATTTAGTTCTTTCCATACTTTAATAACTCCATAGTTTTAGACCTTTATTCTATGGTCCTCTGCTCTTCAAATCAGCACAAATGGTTAAGCTCAGTCACTTTTTAAAAATTGAAACGTGTCCAATATCAATGCACAGAGATTTTTTGTTTGTGTACTATATTTGAATACCTCAATTTGAGGAGTATTAGGGATATTGACCCATATTAAGACAAAAATACTCTGAAGGCAACACTCCTCTATAGACAAGACAACAATAATCTATAGACAAGACAACACTACTCTATAGACAAGACACCAATACTCTATAGACAAGACAACAATACTCTGTAGACAAGACAACAATACTCTGTAGACAAGACACCAATACTCTGTAGACAAGACAACAATACTCTGTAAATTAGACAACAATAATCTGTAGACAAGACAACAATAATCTGTAGACAAGACAACAATACTCTGTAGACAAGACACCAATAATCTGTAGACAAGACAACAATACTCTGTAGACAAGACACCAATACTCTTTAGACAAGACACCAATACTCTGTAAATTAGACAACAATACTCTGTAAATTAGACAACAATACTCTGTAGACAAGACACCAATAATCTGTAGACAAGACAACAATACTCTGTAGACAAGACAACAATACTCTGTAGACAAGACACCAATAATCTGCAGACAAGACAACAATACTCTGTAGACAAGACACCAATAATCTGTAGACAAGACAACAATACTCTGTAGACAAGACACCAATACTCTGTAGACAAGACAACAATACTCTGTAAATTAGACAACAATACTCTGTAGACAAGACACCAATAATCTGTAGACAAGACAACAATACTCTGTAGACAAGACACCAATAATCTGTAGACAAGACAACAATACTCTGTAGACAAGACACCAATACTCTGTAGACAAGACAACAATACTCTGTAAATTAGACAACAATACTCTGTAGACAAGACACCAATAATCTGTAGACAAGAAAACAATACTCTGTAGACAAGACACCAATAATCTGTAGACAAGTCAACAATACACTGTAGACAAGACACCAATACTCTGTAGACAAGACAACAATACTCTGTAAATTAGACAACAATACTCTGTAGACAAGACACCAATAATCTGTTCAGCTGTCCTTTTTAACTTGTAAACCATATGCATACCCTTGGTATTTACTTCCAGGATTTTTCCTTAGTGTGCTGTTTTATATTTGGGTCTAACAAGTGCTTTCTATAACTTGACTGTATCCTATTACATTAATAGTTTTTGTTTCCAGTGTACCAGGAATGAGTTTCACAAAAAATCTTACGACTAAAGTGGATCGTAAGTATACTTAATTGTGTAAGACTTACGATCGACATTAGTTGTAAGATATTTTGTGAAACTGACTCCAGTATCTTATTGTTTAATTATCTTTATCTAGAAATATTTAATTGATATGTTGTTTTGTCATTTGCTGTTTTATTAAAAAGTGTATCAAAAATATTCACACTTCATTCTGGTGGAAATGTGAAATTCAGGTAAATCCATACACAAGGAGCAATTTACAAAAATGTTAACACAATTGTTCTGTTGTTTTTTTAATTTCTTTTTCTGTACATTTTACAACAATTTTAATAGGGAAATGGGGTTACTGTAATGAATGCCTAGAATAAACTTTTTGTAAAAAAACTGAAAAAACCTCTACTATAACAACAAACCAAACAAAGGCGGAGATAAATTGTAAAAAGAGAAAATGATTGTTATGATCTACTTGAAAAGTCATTGAAAAAGGGAACAAAAAAGATGTATGAACCCTGTAATCATAAACACTGTCAAATATAAATGAAAAAAACATGGAATATTGATTCTAATTAAATAAACTGTACAACATGAACATATTTCTATTGTCTTTAATTTGTTCTTACATCATTCAAAATTAGTAGACAACCAATCTAAACACTAATTTATGTGGAGATGAAGTGTAATATGAATATAACACATGACTAATTTCAAAAATTTATACATAGATATTGATCAATCAAGGTTGGATATGGCCAAGTCGATGGGAGCCACATACACACTGAAAGTAACCAGTAAAGACCCAAAAGAGATGGCACAGAAAGTTGAAGATGTAATGGGAGTACAGCCAGAGATTACTATCGAATGTAGTGGTGCTACTCCTAGTATTCAAACTGCTATTTATGTAAGTTTATTCATAGAAACAAAGATGTAGAAACCATTTTAAGATATAGTCAATATTATAAGACTTTGGTGATTTTCACACATATGTTATTTACGTAAGTTTAATCAAAGTAGCATAGATGTAGAAACCATTTTAAGATCTTCTGGTCAATATTGTAAGACTTGAGTCATTATCACACATATGTCATAATATTTATCACTGAGAAACACAAAGTTCTACATTTTATTGAAGATGGAAGGAAAATGGAAGTGTGTGTTGTTTTATTTAAACATATGTATTGTGTGCCTCCCTGAGGGTACCACCATCCCAGTTATTAATCAGCACTTCTGTATTTACATGAAATATCATTGATATGGTCATATTCATAAATTAAATGTTAACAAAACTTTGAATTGTTCGAAATGCTAAGGATTTTCTATCCTAGAAATAGATAATCTAAGCTGTATTTGGCAAAACCTTTTGGAATTTTGGGTCCTCAATGCTTTTTAACTATCTACTTTATTTTGGGCTTCTAACTTTTTTGATTCAAGCATCCTTGATGAGTCTTTTGTAGACAAAATATGCGTCTGGCGTATAAAATTATAAGCTGTAAAATCTTTGAAGCGTTTTTTTGGGGGGTTATATTTTGCACAGCTGTAGCATAATGTGTAAATGACTTGCATAATGTATAAAACACCATTTTAATCATTTAACCATCATCTTCTTTTTATGCAACCCCAAAAATTTGCCGCTCTAAAATGGTATGGCGATGTCGCCATTGTTGTCGTCGTCCAAAGACATTTGGTTTCCAGAAAATAACTTGAGTATAAGTGTATGGATCTCTATGAAATTGTACAACATGGTTCCATACCAATAAAGGAAGATTGGGATTGATATTGGGGGTAAAGACCATATCCGCTTAGGAATTAAAGGCCAAAAGGGGTAAAAATACAAGCATTTTTTTAAACTTTATTTGAATTGGTATATTTTTTTTCAAAGGGAAATAACTCAAACCACAATTTCTTTATAATTCACACTAAAACACACAACATTAATGTCACCTTTTGATATCACTTTTTAGAACATTTCTTAGCTAATATTTTCCCTTAATAAATAAATTAATTAAATTCTTGGTGTACATTGTACTAGGATATGCTGAATCTAACCGTGTATTTAGATTTTGGATGTTGGACTATTATAGGGAAAGTCCAATTTCAAATTTTTCTGTTCTTTGACCACATTCATTCTGTGTCAGGAACCTATGCTGTGTCAAATGTTTGATCACAATCCAAATACAGAGCAGTATCAAGCTTGAATGTAGTGTCCATACTTGCTCCAACTGTTCAGGGTTCGACCTCTGCATTTGTATGAAGCTGCACCTCATGGAACATTTTACTACTTGTGAATCAAAATTTATCAAATATTTTTTTACATAAATTTGAAGTAAAAAGGTAAATAGTTGACAAGAAATTATAATACAATGTAGAATACAATGTAGTAATTTATCAGTATCTTATGCTTGTGGAAGAAGTTGAATAAAATTCAGTACAAGCTGCACATTGATATCGAACTGGATTTCCCACCCTTTTTTTTCAAATATACATAAACTTAACTCAAGGCATCATTAAACAGTCATATTTTCAAGTAAAGCTGCAAAACATTATTTAATTTTTTTTTATTAAGAAAAAAAATGTAGAATAAAAAAACTTTCTCTTAATTTGAACTGGTTTATCTCCCTTCGCTCAGATATTGCATTTTTGAAGAAAAAGACTTTCTTCAAGTACAGGCTAATTGCAGTCTTTGATAAATCTATCATTTTAATACTTAACTATGTCAAAATCATTGATTTTTAGCTCACCTAGCCTAAAAGGCCAAGTGAGCTTTTCTCATCACTTGGCGTCCGTCGTCTGTCGTCATTGTCTGTCGTTAACTTTTACAAGAATCTTCTCCAACTGGGCCAAATTTAACAAAACTTGGCCACAATCATCATAAGGGTATCTAGTTAAAAAAATGTGTCAATGACCCCGCCTACCAACATGGCCACCATGTCTAGAAATAGAGCATAGGGGTAAAATGCAAGTTTGGTCTTCTATCTTGAAAACCACTATGAATGGAGAAAATCAGTTAGGGCGAAAATGTTCAGAATGATGAGATCTACTTATTGTCTAACAACTTCTTATAGTTATTGCCCTCGAATGACGAATTTTTACCAATTTTTTTCATTTTTGCCTATTATCTTGAATATTACAATACTTAGAGAGAAACTTTAAATGGCAAAAGTGATCAGCAAGACAAGATCTACAAATAAGTTCACTTGGTCCATATAGTCAGACAACTACTTATTGGAGTTATTACCCTTTGATAATGATTTTTACCCTTTTTTTTGCGTTTTTGCCTAATATCTGAAAAACTATAATCGATAGATAGTAAATTAAATTAGCAGAAATGATCAGCAAGACTTGATCTACAAATAAATCAAATAGCCAAAGTCATTAGTTGACTCCTTGTAGCAGTACTTGGTCTTTAATAATGATTTTTACCAATATTTTACGTTTTTGACTGCCGCTACTATCTTGAAAACTATAAAAGATAGCTAGACACTTTAAAAAGCAAAAATGATCAACAAGACAAGATCTACAAATAAGTAAAATTTAGCTGAACTTCTGGTTTTTTTTATTGTTGGTAAATTTTGGACAATGCATTTTGTTCTTGGTCTTCAGTGTGGGGGAAATTCAGATTTGAATGTAATGAATTTGGCATTGGATAGAAAATTATAAAAACATGTACATATTATGAGCTGAGTGTCTTAAAAACAAATTTCAAAACTGGTGGTTTTCTTTTTTTTTTTAACTTTCTGTAGCTAGAGAGAAAGATGTCACTGATACAACCTTCAGAGTAACAGAATTTCTTACTTTTTAATTATTTATGTACACAGAGTTCTTGAAATATTTTTTTCCATGGTGGTCCTTGATGAAAATCTATGATTTCTATTGCAAAATACCAAAATTGTGTCTGTTCTTTGCCAAATTTTGGTGGTGTCCAAACCTTTGGACCACCACTTTTCAAGAACTCTGTGTACAAATAACAAAATTAAAACAGTCACTTTATATTTTAAAATTATTATTTTTTATATTATAGCAAAATGAAAAAAAAAAATATATTGCTGGCAAATAAATATTTTATTGTTCTACCATACTCTTTATATATTTTCTGAATAGATTATTAGACCCAGTAGAATTTAATTTTGGCAGGCAACTAAATCAGGCGGATGTGTGGTATTAGTTGGTTTAGGACAAGCAGACATCACACTCCCAATAGTAAATGCCTCAGTCAGAGAAGTTGACATCAGGGGAATATTCAGATATGTTAACTGGTATGGATTGTAATACAGTTTGATATAAAAAATTGTGGATTCATTTAATTTCTTGGATACCAATTTTCATGGTTTAAGGAAAAATTGTGTATTGGTAGATATTTGGTTTTCATAGATATTCTTAAAATCCTATAGAAAATTGATACACATTGAAAATTGAAATTCGTGGTTCATCTTTACCAAAGGAATCCCTAAAAATTGGTACTCCACGAATTATAATGAATTCACAATAGTCAAATAAAAGGGCACAGTTTATGTTGTATTGCAGTATGAAAAAAATGAATTGAAGTAAGGAAATTTCATGGTTGCCGATATATGATTTTTAATAAAATTAAATTAAGAACTACTACATTTTACCTGTTACAAGTCAAGTCCACTTTAAAAATTATTTTTTGGTTATCAAATAAAATATCAGCTTACAGTTCATTCCAAGATAACTTGGGTCATTTAGAGTAAAATGGCTTGCAGTTCTTTGAGAGCCAGTGTGCAAAGAAATTGTAAAGAAGAATTATGTTTTATTATTTAAAGGGGCATTAGCTGTCAAATTCACGTTCACCGGTTAGACTCAAATTCTCATATTTGATGTATAACATACTAAAATGTATATCCAAATTACAAAGAGTATAAAATAAACAATGAACAATGCATGGGCACGATAATATATATATCAGCATTTTGTGTTTATTTTAGTCTTGATGCCATCTAATTAACCATCGAAATGCCTCTGAAAACTGCTGATGGTCATATAACCTGATATAAACATAAATATAATTATAAATAGATAGCGACCACATGCAATTGGATTTTTTTTAGGTCTGTTTGATATCATGATATAGGTTAAAACAATATGTTAATCATCGTTTTCACCTGTATAAGAATGATTTTTTGTGGATCAAACGAAATGGTTCAGCCTTGTTTCACTTTCAATGTTGACATTCTTTTCCTTCTAATAGCTGAGCATGCCTATTACATGCATAACCCATCTCAAGCTAAGGGGTTAAATTGAAGTTCACATGAATACTGATTCACATGATGTGGAATTAAGCACTTGCAAGTCAATAATACATCAGCAATGTTTTTGAGCTTATTTTGACAAATTTGGGCCAAACTAACTGCTTATGACGAAATATTGTTTTAAAAATCTGCTTTTATGATACTTGAAACAAAAAGAATTGTATTTGAAATTTTTTTTCTTACTTGTAGCTTATGCGGCATTGCCCCTTTAAATTCGTCATAAAATTCTGTTGTGGTTGTAAGTACAAATAATCCAGTAAAACAGGCTTAATTTACAACAAATTTAAATCTTTTAATTCTTATCAAATAATTTCAGAAGTTTCTACATAGTAAATACTCTTTTGCACATGTGTATATTTATTCCTGTTTGAAAATGTTTAATTTTGTTACAAACAATTGAATTCTTAAGATTTAGAGTGTTAAAGACCAATTTTTGGCATGTAAACTTGGAATTCAGGAACATTTTATACATTTTTTTTTCCACCTCCCTTCACATCTTTGTTTAGAAAATATGAATATATCACATATTATGACAAATTGTATTCATTTCAGACAGTCATAGAAGTTATGGCAGTTGTATTACAAAAAAATTGAAACAATTACTTTTATATCCAGTAAGTTGCTTTTAAACTCATATCAAAGCTAAACTGCCTCTAGTTGAACAATCTACTTGTTTACATTGACTGTTATATATATGTCAATGGGACAGCAAACCAGCAGTATGAAAAAAACAAAATACATTTAAAGGTCATTCTATAGCTTTTTTTCAGTCATTGTTAGGATAAAATAAAAGATTATTTTATTGAAAGCAGTTTTAATATTTTTCAGTTACCCAACTGCATTAGCAATGGTTGCTTCTGGTAAGGTGGATGTAAAGCCATTGATAACACATAGATTTAAACTGGAAGATACTCTCAAAGCATTTGAGACAACTTTCAAAGGAGAAGGAATCAAGGTCATGATAGAATGTGCTAAAAAGTGAAATGTTATGGGACAATTTGAGTAGATTTGGGAAGTAAATATTGGATAGATGTCTTTATTGTCATCAGTAGATAAGTTCACATACACAGAAAAATGAGGATAATCACAAATGGACCGGATGCTTCATTTTTATCATGTTCAGCCAGGGTACACGGTTGTATAAATGGAAAAAACATTTTAACATTTGTTACTTATATACTTATACTATATATGATTATGATAATCTGTAGAGAGAGATTTTCTTAGAACTCTGTTCAAGTCAAGTGCAATCTTTTTGCTGAAAAGCAAGTGATGATAATTGAAAACACTTAAAGGGTATTTTTTGTATTTAATAGCTTAAAGGATAAATTTGTTTTTATGGTGAGACATGGAAATATTATGTTAAAATTAATGAAAATTTCAATAGGATTGTTTTGTTTACAACGGTTCTCAATGATAATTTTTTTTTATATGAAAACTTTGTGTAATTATTTTTTGATAGACATTTAAAGGTTATATTTGAATGTTCCCCCTAGAAAAATATGTTATTGTATGTTGTCTTGAAATTCTAGAGATTATTCTTTAATCTTCTTTTGTTGTTGATATTATAGATATTTTAATCAAGAAATATATATTTTATGCATTTAGGTTTTCGTTTTATTTTCCTGCTCTAGACATCCATGAAAGTATAAAAAACCAACAACAATCCATCAACACAAATAACCAAAATAATCTAAATGTGCATGTACACAGTATATATATAAAGAAAATCAACCTAACAATGTTAGAGTAGATCTAATTCTTTACCTCCTCCCCAAGCGGGACTGAAACCTGTACTTTTCACTTCTCACTTCTACGACGACACTGCCTAGCATTGCGTAGATGCCTTATCCCCTCTAACTATAGCTGATAAAAATCAGCTTTCGTTTCGGGAGGTGTTACCTTCTCGTAGGAATTAAACAAGGATATCTGATACAATACACAAAGTATTTTATAAGTGTACAGGAATGATCCTACTTATATACAGTATATATATATATATATATATAAACAAGTCTAAATTGAAAACAACCTTCAAACCTATGGTTGCATTGGATAAAAACCACAATTTTTATACGTGTGCATGCTAAAAAAAATTCTTGGTAGAGGGGTCTAAATACAGCACAAACAACATTTTCCAAAAGACCAAAAAAGTGAAAAAGTATATTTTAACAAAACGCATTTGCCGAGCAGGTCAAACAACAGATGTTCTTAAACCCTGCTGACTGCCATGGCGATTGCCAAATAAACGGATCACCAGATGTAACACAATGGATCTGATTTATTAATTTGATACCAAACAGAAAACAATAAACTTGCGGGAAATATGGTATACCACAAACATGAGGTGCAAAAATTTGTACACCATATCTGGATTTCGACAATTAATGTCACTTCAGTGATGTTAGGAATGGAAGCAGTATTTAGAAGGTCACGTAATTTACCTCAATTAAGGATTGACTCTTGAATTTTGAAGAGCCGAAATAGGATGAACGGATTATATAAACCCGAAGGCAAATATAATACAAGCCCAAACGAAAAAATATAAACAAGTCTAAATTGAAAACAATGTTCAAACCTATGATTGCGTGGGATAAAAACTGCAATTTTTATACGTGTGCATGCAAAACAAAATTCTTGGTAGAGGGGTCTAAATACAGCACAAACAACATTTTCCAAAAGACCAAAAAAGTGAAAAAGTATATTTTAACAAAACGCATTTATATATATATATATAAATATATGTATTATTGTCTTGTCTTGTGAATTTTTGTATATGTGCTTGAATTTGCCTGAATAAAACTATACTATATGTATACTATTCCCAGCCCAGAAGAAGCTGTGTTGATTTTAAAAAATTCTCACCTGCATTCTTTCAGTGTTAAATTGTTTGTTGGATGCGTTTATTGCATGACACCTCTGATTGAAATTAGAGTTATACTTCGTAATTTATTTGACCTTTTAACAGTTTCGATTCAGCGTCACTGATGAGTCTTCTGTAGACGAAACGCGCGTCTGGCGTACATAATTAAAAGTCTTGTATCTTTGATGAGCTTTTACAGTTTTCAATAGCTGTTTGACCACTACCATAAATGAGTGTTCCGGGCCAATGAAGACATTTTACATAAGGTTTTTATATTTTTATAAGATTTTACCGTAGCTTGACTTTAAATGAAATAGAAAGACGGGTAATACCACATAAGCAGAGGCAAACTTATAACCTTGTCGATGCACCGGTTCTCACACCTGTTTAACTTTTTTGCAATTTGTAATTTAGCATTTTCGTCCTCTGATTGAATTAATGATCGAAAGATTTATCATAAAGGCATGTTTTGGCTAAAGAAGAACATTTTTTTTTGGCATATTAAGTATTTGCTAAAGATTCTGACATTAAATCAAGACACAAGGTTAGAATTAATCAAGGAAGTCTTTAGCTAATTATACATAATATAAAAAAAAATCTTATAAATTGAGCAAACTAATCATAAAAGACTTAGTTGTGTATTTCATATAATGAGATAAAGGTTGGCGTGATCAGTAAAAGGTCTACATTATTTTTGTATACTAAGAATTTTTTTAATATTCTGACTTTAAAATGAAATTACAATTCTAGAAGCAAATCTTTTAAGTTGAGCACATCCATAAAAAACTTAGTTGTTTATTTTATAAAATGACGGTCGTGGTTTGGTTGATAATTAAACAGTCTCCGTTTTGTTATTGTCAGTACTCTTGCGATATTTCATGTGTGTAATCTTCAATTTGTTCCGAAAACTGAATCAAACCGAATGAAAATCATTCATAAACAAATTATATAAGTATATGCAGATTTTAAAAAAATGGGATGGATATAAAAGAAAGAACGATCACAGAGACTTCTAAGATATAATGATATCGAAAGAACAAAGTTTTTATCGTTGTCATTTTTCCAGCCAATTGCTTATAATAGATATAAGAATATGTGGTATGAGTGCCAATGAGACAACTCTCCATCCAAGTCAAAACTTATAAAAGTAAACCATTATAGGAGTCTACAACAATAATCTAAAAAAATTTCTAATTGGAACAGGATTCTTCAATCGCCTTGTTTGTTTGATATCAACTTTATTGTCCATGATATCGCCATATTAAGTAAAGACTATGAAGTTTACCGAATTCAAAAAATTCCTTTCATTTTGAATATACAAACTCAAGGAAAAAAGCTGTGAGTATTAAGATGGTAAAACAAACCTGTTTAAATACATATTCCGTTCGGGCACAAATTCTAAAACTCCGAATGATTTATTTTTACCTATAGAAAACTAAAAAAAAAGAAAAAAATTGTCTGTGAGTATTTACTAAGAAGAAGACCTTACAGATTGCCAATGAGACAACGATCCACCTGAGACAAAGAGAGAGAAAATTAACGGCCTGATGTATGTACAAAACAATGAACGAAAAAAACAAATATGACATACAGCCACAAACGACAACCACTGTGTGTTATGCAAATTTAAGCACTTCAGACAAACGAAATTTATAAAGTGCTATTTTCATTTTATCATATGATAAAATAGTAGTAAGGGTTTGTTTTGTTAATTAACAGAACCACACAAAGAGGCCAATTCAGTCACAATTTACATGGTTTGGAAAGATTAAATAGAAAAAATAACACTTTTTTTTTATTATAAAGAAAATAAAATTATTAAATTTTGTAGAGAATACATGAAGGTAGCTCTTATGTAATACCTTTCGGAGATAGAGTTTGAATAATAGAGTCTCTTCTATATACCAGAAAAGATAAATTGACTGTAATAAGTATATTTCACCTGTGAAATTTTAGAATTGTACCAGCTCATATCGCCCATTACTATTCTCTTTGGATGTATTACTATGCAGTCTATGTTATAAATACTTAACCATCGTCAACTTTGAAATTTTAGAATAAAACCAGCGTGATCCGGTTTTTATACGACCGCAAAAAAATTTTTGTGGTCATATATTGGTATGACGTTGGCGTCGTTGTTGTCGTTGTCATCGTTGTCGTCGTCGTCCGGCGTCGTCCTGCGTCGTCCGAAGACACATTGGTTTTCGCACTCTAACTTTAGTTTAAGTGAATGGATCTCTATGAAATTTTACCACAAGGTTCAATACCACAAAAGGAAGGTTGGGATTGATTTTGGGGGTTATGGTACCAACAGTAAAGGAATTAGGGGCCAAAAAGGGGCCAAAAATAAGCATTTTTGTAACTTCCAGACATAACTTGTGTGTTAGTGTATGGATCTCTCTGACATTGTACCACAAGGTTCTATATCACAAAAGGAATGCTGGGATTGATTTTGGGGGTAATTGCCTCAAAATTTTAGGAATTAGGGGCCAAAAAAGGGGCAAAAAACAAGCATTTTTCTAGTTTCATAACAATAACTTGTGTGTAAGTGTATGGATCTTTCTGAAATTGTACTACAAGGTTCCATATCACAAAGGGAAAGCTGGAATTGAGTTTGGGGGTAATTGCCGAAATGTTTAGGAATTGGGGGCCAAAAAGGGGCAAAAAATAAGCATTTTTCTAGTTTCCAGACAATAACTTGTGTTCAAGTGTATGGATCTCTCTGAAATTGTACTGCAAGGTACCATACCACAAAGGGAAGGCTGGGATTGATGATGGGGTAATTGCCTCAATATTTTAGGAATTAGGGGCCAAAAAGGGGCAAAAAACAAGCATTTTTCTAGTTTCAGGACAATAACTTGTGTGTAAGTGTATGGATCTTTCTGAAATTGTACTACAAGGTTCCATATCACAAAGGGAAAGCTGGGTTTGAGTTTGAGGGTAATTGCTCTAAACGTTTTGGAATTTTGGGCCAAAAAGGGGCCAAAAAACACATTTTTCTAGTTTCCAGACAATAACTTGTGTTCAAGTGTATGGATCTCTCTGAAATTGTACTGCAAGGTACCATACCACAAAGGGAAGGCTGGGATTGATGATGGGGGTAATTGCCTCAATATTTTAGGAATTAGGGGCCAAAAAGGGGCAAAAAACAAGCATTTTTCTAGTTTCAGGACAATAACTTGTGTGTAAGTGTATGGATCTTTCTGAAATTGTACTACAAGGTTCCGTATCACAAAGGGAAAGCTGGGTTTGAGTTTGGGGGTAATTGCTCTAAACGTTTTGGAATTTTGGGCCAAAAAAGGGCCAAAAAACACATTTTTCTAGTTTCCAGACAATAACTTGTGTTCAAGTGTATGGATCTCTCTGAAATTGTACTGCAAGGTACCATACCACAAAGGGAAGGCTGGGATTGAGTTTGGGGGTGATGAATCATAAGGGGGTTCAAAAAATTGGGGGGGGGGATTTTTTTTTTCCTTTTTTTTCTTTTTTTCCTTTTTTTTTCTTTTAAAATTTTCCATTTTAAGTTGGTTATTTCTGATTTATATTTAAAAGCAAATAATAATGATATGGTAGGAGATACACACCAAACAGGATGTGTAAATTATTATATAATAAGTATTGTGCAATAGCAAGAAATTTTCAATTGCACAGTATTGAACAATAGCAAGAAATCTTCAATTGCACAGTATTGCACAATAGCAAGAAATCTTCAAATGCACAGTATTGCGCAAAAGCAAGAAATAT